TGCTCGATCAATATTTATCATATATACCTTTCGTAGGAATGTATCTTTAATAACAGTTACTGAATCACAACGGTTGAACATACCACCTGATAACTGAAACTATGTATCTCTCATTTGTAAAAATATGGTCTTTGCGACCATATTGTATTTTTCACTGGGAGCCACGGTGGCTAAGTGGGTAAGAGTCTGGAGGTCGCATGTTCGCTCCCTGCATTGGCGAGAAAGTTTATCGGGATTTTCCGGTGTGGTTTCCCTTATGAGTTGTGCAGGATTGAGGCCGTACAAGGACAGCTGTCTAGTCGTTCGGGTGGCACGTAAAACCGAGGTCCCGTGTATACATTAATGTGCATGTAAAATATCCCTTGACAGTTGGAATTCGATATAAGAGTAAGCCAAAATGCCGCTGCAAGGACAAAATTGCCGCTATTGCACACCGTATGACGTATGCAAGTATTCATTAGCCCAGCTGGAACAGTAGGACGTTAAACCCCATTTCATTTTAGTCTGTATCATTAACTACTCAGATCTCATGTACTCAAAATTAAATTTTTGGTAAAGTTTTTACCATTGTCAAAATAACCACCAAATACTATCTTGTTTATGACATGTGTTTGGTAGACCAAACAAGGTAATGTTTTGGGGTGTTTATTCCATATTTGGGAAGGAAATAAGCGCCAATGTCAGTTTATGACGTAAAGAAATTAGGAGGTTGAGCGAAATTCATCAGAGCTCACCCAGATTTTCAAAGCAGTCACCAAATGCTATATACAAGTTATTGCATTTGAGGACGAGGAACATTAGTGCAAAGCGGTTTTAATAATAAAGTTGTAAGAACGAACTAATCTGTAGTTAGTGTGGTTGACAAGGAGTGAACTGGGTGTGGGCGTGGCCTGCCTCTGCTTTTGTATGCCGTACAATCGTCATGATTGTTCTACAACTTGAAAATAAGTATGGCGATTATTTAGGGTGTTAATTCTTTTTATTTGATTATTTCTGTAGTTTTGTAATCGGAGTTCAGCTTTAAATAAGCTTTATTTTGAAGGTTTCGATGTTTAATGACAAAGAACAATTTTGATTGTTTTTGCTGAGTAAGTCTTCATAGTATGGGAGGCCATTATTTTGCGATAATATTCCAACTTATTTTTTTTTTATTTTCATCTTTTTTTTATAATGTTATCGACATAGCAACAGTGACTTGGCACTGCATTAATAATGGCAGGGGTCATGACTATATTTCAGATTTTTTATCATCACTCCGTACTGTTATCTTACAACTATATTCAAAACAATATGTTATTATGTTATTAACCAACAAAGGGGGTTTAAGGGGATTTAAAGTATAGTCTGTAACAAGTTTGTGACACTTAAACATAGTAAATACATAAATAAATACATTTTTATAGTATACATATTTATAAACAGTTTGATATATAATAAGTACAAATATATAATAAATAATTATATATGCATATATAAACTAAAATAAATAAATACATATATTCAATAAATACATTTTATAGTATAAATATTTATAAACAGTTTGATAAACATGACAATTCACAGTCCATCAAAATTCGTAACAGTGTTCAGGTATTCAATGGGGGTCTTGGCACCAGTTATTAATAAATTCTTCTCTTCTACGATTCTCTCATCAAGGCGGCGGTACATTCTTCTTTTGGGAGCAAGTCTGCGCCCAGATTCTATTTGTCTGATGGTTAGTTCTACATCTTCCTGTTCAAGTATTAGCAATGTATTTAAAGTTAACCAGAGCGTTCGCCATTTTGGAATGACCATTTGCGATTCAGAGGAGCTATATATATCAACTGATAAGCTGTGATTAAATATCAGTACTTTATTTGTTTTTATTTCAAATTAATTATTACATCAAAACAGCTCACAATGTAAATTTATTAGTAAACTGATTTCACTAATTTGCCCAATCTACTGATAGTGGGAAGTGTTCACCAGTAACAATAATTAGAGTGAGAAGTTTACACCAGTCATACTAATTAATTAAAACAGACTATAGTCCTACACCCACGGTCTACTAACTTCCTAATCCTTTATCAAAACAATCAAATGTGGGGAAAGTGAGGTTAAACCATTAAAAGATCTGTATCTAGGTAATTAGGGAAGTATAAAGTACCGTTTGGTTTATTCCCACGAAGGCGCAGTTATTGACCGTAACGGATTAAACGAGGTCATTTTCGACGCCTTCGTGGGAATCCAGCTCCTAGGGATTCAAATGGATTAAAAACGTAACAATGGTCTTATTGTTATGATAAGAATTTACACTTTCATAATACCCAATGTAACTAATTAACCAAGATTTTAGCATCGTTTTTGGAATAAGAAATAAAAATATAACTACACTATAACAAAAATTAATTTAATTTCGCCAAATATGACACCCTGTCTAAATACTCGACTAAAATCAATTCCTCTTTCTCGTGTCTTCCTTTTAATTTCTGAAGCTGGCTTTGGATTTGATCATATTTAGATCTCTTCCTTGGGGGTTCCTGTCCCCCAGCATACTGAACGATTCTAATCTCATTATTATTTTGTTCTTGTTGTAAAAATGTGATCATTTCAAAAACATTCGGATGGGCTTTTCCTATTAGCTTCTTGATTCTCGCATGCCATCCTTCCATAGTGCTGTTGATTCTGTGCTCCTCTGTGTCGTAGTGGTCCCACTGATATCGTCCTCCGCGACTTGTAGGTACAAAGCTGAATTTCGGATAGTGTAACGGAATTTTATACATCTTTAAAAATGACACTGATTGAGAGTGATTTGATGATATTCATCATTCAATTGGTGATTAAGATTCATATTGAATACTTGGATAATTTGATGATTTTAACCATTAGTTGCCAATTGGTGAATAAAATTCAGAGTGAACATAAATTCATAAAATCTTTAACACCGTTAATTGGGTCCTAATAACAATATGCCTCTCTTCAAACGAAAGCCGACAAGTCGATATCTGCGCCTTCGTGGGAAGGATTAATTTTGGTCACGCTCTGTAACTGCGCCTTCGTGGGAATACACCTAAAGAATAAACCGGTCACAATTACTGCTTATTTTTGAGCAACGTTTCGACTAAGCTTCTCTAGTCATTATCAAGCAATGATAAACTATGAAAATATAACAAGACAATATATACATGTACATAATACTTGGTTAATGCTATCAACCAGGGATACCTTTACGTGTAGACCCTTGGGTACTATATCGGCATCCCTGTATCGCATTAAGAAAGTAAGATTGTTACATACATGTAAATATTTTCCTTCTGTTCTTCGCATTTGATCGACAAGTTTGACTGCCACATCTCAATACTGATGTCTGATAAATTGTTTTAATGGCATTTAATAATTGAACTGGAATAAACAGTTCGATGGAATACAATTACTGCTTATTCCATAGAATTGTGACTTGTTTATTCCAGTTCAATTACTGAATGCCAATTAAAAAACGTATAAAATGATTGTATAAAAATAAGACAATATTGTTCCTACCATTTCCCAACATTGCATTAAATATTATTTTTAATACTATATCGGCATCCCATTACGAAAGTAAGATTGATACATGACTTTGACTGCCACATCTCCATACTGATGTCTAAATAAATGAAATAAAATGAAATGGGGTTTAACGTTCTATCTATTAATGTTACAATCATGTCTTATTTAGGTTGATGTAAAGTACTGTTGTCTTACAACTTAGATAGGTATAAAGTACGGTCATCCTACAACAATATTCAAAACAATATAATTATTATGAAGATTTTATCTTGGTAAGTATAAAGTACAAATCCCATCTTAACCGGAGCGGGGTCCTTGGCCTAACTAGAATTGGAGGGCCCCTAACGCGACGAAAACATTACTGCATATCCTTTTGAATGACACGCATGCGTAACACACAATTAAACGGTCTCTAATACAAGAATAATTATCACCCAAATAATACATTCTACAGTAGAAATAATACATTCTACAGTAGAAATACATTCTACAGTAGAAATAATACATTCTACAGTAGAAATAATACATTCTACAGTAGATATCGCTTGTGTGATAAATTTCATAATCTACTGCGATATCGCTTTATATATGAATCCGATTGGTCAATCAAAAAGGAACTACTTTTTTTATTTTCAAACAATGTACAGTTCATTTGTTATTAAAAGTAACTTCTTTCTTATTAAAATTGAACTATTTTTAGTTCATTGACCTTGGTGGAAATACTGGGTCAATATAAAGGACTTTGCAATGGTTGAATGGCTGTCAAAAATGATGTATCACTACGTGGTAATTTAATCAGTTCAGTAAAAGCAACATTAATAGCAATGAAATGAAATGAACTGGTGTTGAACGCTCTACTGTTCTGCTCCTAACCTGTGCTAATGAAGAAGGGCATACGCCATACAGTGTGCTATGAGGTAAATTTTGCCCGGACAGCGGCGCTACTCCCTACTCTTATATCGAATTCCAACTGCCAAGGGATCTTTTACGTGCACGCCAATGTGTACACGGGACCTCGGTTTTTCGTCCCATCCGAACGACTAGACAGCTGTCCGAAATCTATAGCAAAGTATCATTTTTATTTATTTATGGCTGTAAGAAAGGATTGGTGATAAATAAAATCTCCTACTCGTCTCTTTATATCAAAAAAGACTCGTAGGAGATTCTCTATATAAGCAAAACTAGGAATATATAAAAAATTAAATTTAAAAGAATTTGATGTGACACTGACGTGTAAAAGTTCTCATTCAATTCTTTTATTTTACAAAATTATAGGTACAGTATCTAAGTGGTTGTTTAAAGATATAAAGTTTAATTTATGGTTTCTTTTTGATTTCAGGTGTGCTTTGTCACCCTTGTCTTGGGTTCGGTATTATTTATTTGGTGTATGTGGCTTGTGTTTGTTTATTAATGGCATTTTATACCTACTGAACTCAGACACAAAAACAGGAAAACCCGAATGGATAGATACGACAGAGACAATTGTCAATCCTCATAATTATTCTTATATTTTAAATCGGCCTGAGGCGTGTAATACAAACACAGTACTAATCATGATCGTGTGCACAAGTATGAACAATTTTGGAGAACGTGAAGCCATCAGGAATACCTGGGGAGCAGTGGGAGGAGATATCAACTCCAATATCACTCTACTGTTTTTGGTTGGAAGTGGTAGTTCAGAAGATGTTCAAAAACAAATTTTCAATGAAAGCAATCTTTATAGGGATATCATTCAAGAAAGGTTTACAGACAGTTACCGGAATTTAAGTATCAAATCACAGGCCATGCTCAAATGGATTAACTCATTTTGTTTAACAGCCAAATACGCTTTAAAAATAGATGACGATATGTATGTTAATGTTCCTAATTTACTAAAAGCAGTAAAAAAACAGACCATTGAAAAATTTATTTTGGGCCATCTATTTGTTAATGAACATCCCGTTCAAGATAAGAAATCAAAATGGTACACCCCTGTTAAAGATTTTACTGAAAAAACATATCCAAGCTATACTTCCGGAACGACATATTTAATGAGCGTTAAAGCTGTTCCCGAACTTTATAAGACATCACTAAAGACAAAACTCTTTTGGTTGGAAGATATTTATATAACAGGACTGTGCGCAAGAAGAGCAAAAATCCCACGAATACATGATTCGGGTTTCTATGTTGAAAAACCAACAACTACGGGTTGCGCCTACAGAAATATTATTACAGGCCATCGAAATACCGTACAAGAAATATATAAAATTCATAAAGAATTACTCGACCTCAAACTTAAATGTTCCCCTTGGTTGTATTGGCTGTGTTGTGTCTTCTAAAGCATGGTTACCAAATTAAATTTTAATTGAAAGAAATTGTGACTTGTGGATTGATAAGGAGCCCTTAAAGATACTTTCGAAAAAAAGTGTTTATCGGGTGGTTATTTCCATGAAGAGTATGGCAATTTGGGTATATATGGAAAGTAGAAATATCCAATCTTACTAGAAAAATACCGGATTCTCCGAAAAACTTAATGAAGAGTTAAATCAACAGCACTTTCTGAGATAAAAACAACAAAGAAAGACGCGTGTAGTGGATAATCCAAGAATTTAATTAGGCTTCGATATTTATGATCAATGGATAGCGATTAAAGAAAACATTGTTTTGTGAATGCAATGAGTTTTTCTCCCGGCTTCGCACCCGTTGCTAGGTAGTGTGTCAGCTAAGTCATGTGACACAAACATGACTTCTTTTACTAGGTTGTTTTGTAGCAGGTGTATTCCCTCTCGAAAACAATGTTTTGAGAAGGATTCGAACATCATTTTGATAGATTAATTATTTTGAATATGTTTTTAGTCCAAACACATCATCAAATCAGCCAGTTTGTCTGCCGAAACGTATCTTTAAGTGGACGACTTCACTCTTGTATACCCTTCAAAAAAGTAGGGGATATTCAGAAACAATACAAAACTGCGGAAATGCACTGCAGTTTTTATTAGAGGTATCCAGTGTATGTTAATAACAGACCAGTTGCCTACACATGAACATAAACAGTTCAAATGGGCGGCTTATCTGACGACCCCATTTCACTCGCAAAGAGATACACTGTCAAAAGTGAAAATGGACATTTTTGATTTTTGTCTTAATAATGAGTAATTGCTCCACCAATCCCCAGACATTCAGAAATTCTTCGAGGCATCCTTCTAATTACCGTCCAATCACAATTTGGGGAAATCTGACCCACTCCTCTTGCAGTGCCACGGCCAATTCTTGCAGTGTTGTCGGTTGACGTCGACGAACACGTCTCCCGATCAAATTAAACGTAACACACTAAAGCAAAGATACGCTAAACAGTAAATCTTATGCAAGAACCGATAAGACAGCAAACATGGATAGGATAAACCAGCGAGCGGAAGTTTTCATCAACCCTTCCTTGAAGTGTCAAATTTGACAATGATCAACCCCTCCCACGTGTATGGCGCACTATTGCGTGTCGCAAGTGCAGGTCAATGGTTCTGTTGGGGGGATAAACGACTCCTAGGGGTGGTGTCACATACCCACATTTTGTTAATATTTTGTCTGTAAATACTCTACAGGTGGCAATTATGAACAGATTTTGTTCTCATTCGACGTGATAATTCATGTTAATAACCTACTTATATTGGTGCATGTCCAACAATCCCGATAGGCAGAGTCAATTCCAATTTTGTGTTTGTCGTCTACGGGCCGCAAATGGAATATTTTTATACCACAAGGTTTGCAACTATTTACTTTGGGGAGTGCCCAATTTGTGTGCTAACAAGGACAGCTGTCTAGTCGTTCGGATGGGACGAAAAACCGAGGTCCCGTATACACATTGGCGTGCACGTAAAAGATCCCTTGACAGTTGGAATTCGATATAAGAGTAGGCCGTAGTGCCGCTGTCCGGATGGGACGAAAAACCGAGGTCCCGTATACACATTGGCGTGCACGTAAAAGATCCCTTGACAGTTGGAATTCGATATAAGAGTAGGCCGTAGTGCCGCTGTCCGGGCAAAATTTTCCTCATAGCACACTGTATGGCGTATGCCCGTCTTTATTAGCCCAGTTCGGAGTAGAAAATAGGACGTTAAACTCGATTTCATTTCATTTTATAGACAGAGAAAGTATTCATGTATTTTATAGCGTGATTTCCCCTTGTCAGTGGTGCAATAAGGGGGCATGGTAAGGAAAGGGTCTAGTATTTAGGTACAGGTGGGATGAAAAACCGAGGTCCCGCGTACTCGTAGGCGTGCGTGTAGAAACACCCTTGACAGTTGGAATTTGAAAAAAGAGCAGGCTGCAGCGCCGCTATCTGGGCAACATTTGCCCGAGAAAGTTCTTAGAGATTTTCAAATGTAGTCTCCCTTTGGTAGTGGTGCAGGACGGAGGGCATGGTACGCAAAAGAACGCTTGACAGTTGAAATTCGAAAGAAGACTAGGTCGTAGCGCAGCTGTTAGAACAAATTTGCTAGCATGGTTTCTCCCCTTGTCAGCGCCACACCGCCGCTGTCGGGGCAAAATTTCCCTCTTCCATACTCTATGACGTGTAAAGGGCTTTATTAGCCCCATCGATGCAGCAATGTAGGACGCCAAGCCCCATTTAATTTCATGTTGCCTAACCTTACGAAAAGAATCGATTTTCTGTATCTGCGATAGTTTACACGCAAAATACCCTACATATAATGTCTGTATTTAGAAATAAACCATTTAGATAAAATAATAAGGAAATGTCCCTATCCTGTATTTAGATTTAATAATAAAACAATATTATTATGTATTTCATCATTTGTAAATTCAATACCAGGAAATCGGCGGGGGGGGGGAATTTGTACGATTAATGGGAGGTAACTCTTGACAAATTAATGGGAGGCAGACCACCATTAAATTTCACCGTTGTAGTTCAGCTAGTTATAGCATTTCAAACCCTCTTCGTCTATTCTAGACCAAAATATCATCGAAACTGGGCATGCATAAGGGCAGAAAAGAGACACTGGTGTAAACACTAGTGCCAAATCGAGGGGCACAGGTTAAGGCACTAAAAAGAACACCAGTTACACACATAGGCGTAGGGGGTCGATGACAGTTAGGGGGGCAGAACCCGAAATGCCCGAAAAAATGTCGTGTTTACAGACAGCAGCGACCTTGTATACCCCCCGCCCCCCCCCCCCCCCCAAGACAATTTTGGAATATTTGACGGCTGCAAACACGTTTTCCTGCTATTGCAGCCGTTGAACAAAGCAACTTCAAAGTGGTCTAATATAGCCTAATTAAGGTGGCTGACTCGGAATTCCAATCAATCGTTTACAGTCCTCGAAGACGAGACCGTTAGGAGTAAATTTTGAAAATTTAACTGCCGCAAACGCGTTTTCCCCGATATTTCAGCCAGTGAACAAAGCAACTTCAAGCGGTCTAATATAGCCTATTTAAGGTGGCTGACTCGGAATTCCAATCAATCGTTTACAGTCCTCGAAGACGGGACCGTTAGGAGAAAATTTTGAAAATTTAACTGTCGCAAACGCGTTTTCCTGCTATTTTAGCCGGTGAACAAAGCAACTTCAAAGTGGTCGAATATATATTATAGCCTTATTAAGGTGGCTGACTCGAATTCCAATCAATCGTTTACAGTCAACGAAGACGGGACCGTTGGGAGAAAATTTTGAAAATGTAACTGCCGCAAACGCGTTTTCCTGTTATTCCAGTCTGTGAATACAACAACTTCAATTTGGTCCAATATAGCCTACCTGGCTGACCCGAATTCCAAACAACCAATCAATCGTCGCGCGGTATATGGAGGCCTCACCCTCCCGGAGAAAAATTTGAAAATTTAATCACCGTAAATGCGTTTTCTGCTATTCTAGCCCGTGTAAGCAACTCCAAAAGTATCCAATGGTTTTGTAACTGAAATCCCACTCTGAATTCTAACCATCCAATCAGACTGTTGCATCTGCATTCACAAATAATAGTCGATGCCTGAAAAATGTCGCACAAAGTAGAGTGGCTCCAGACAAAATGTTTTAATCCATAGTCAATTCAGTACAAATTCGTGATATTCAATTACAAGAAAAGTAAAATTAGTGTTTTATTAGGGCTCGATAACAGTTAGGAAAGCAAAACTAGAAATGCCCGAAAAATTTCGGATTTATAGACAGCGGCGCCGGTTTTCTTTGAGAGGCGAATGACCCGCCAAGAAAATTTTAGAATATTTGACGGTCGCAAACGCGTTTTACTGCTAGTTTCCTCTGCCGCTTTCCGGCCCGATGCCCGTTTTTCGGGCAATACCTATTTTCGGGCAATACCGTTTTTTCGGGCATACCTATCATAAGAGAGCTTCGGGCATATTTTCGGGCATATGCAGTAGACAAGAAAAAGACGAGAAAATACTTTTCGGGCAGTGTGGATCTCATAGAAATAAGTTAGTTATATTTTTTCTCTAAACGTTAATAGAAAAAAAAGGTCGTCGAATTTTTCATTGCCCCCCCCCCGGCTCCTACGCCTATGGTTACACACCACTACAACGCAACCTTAACACAAAAGTAACCCGGGACTTGAACAGTGTATTGGCGTGGTTTCGATTCCCCGGTTGTACGTGAAAAGGAGTGGGGTCGCCTGTCAAACCTCGTGCGTTTTCTCCGGGGTTTTCGGTTTCCTCCCACTGCTAAACACCCCTTCGCCCAAGCGAATTATTGAAATAAAATTGAACCTTGCGTTAGTCCCGAAATGATCTAGTTTGTGTCGAGTGGACGTTAAACCCCATCTCTCTCTCTCTCTCTCTCTCTCTCTCTCTCAAACATGAAGTGATAGTGAGAGTTAAATTACCTGCTGTTGATAATTATCTTTAATGTATTTAGCCAGTAGTTATTAGTAATTAACTAAACAACACATATACATCAAATTATTATTTCCCTTATACGACCTATCATTGAACTAAAATGATTGCGCTAATGACGAAGGGCTCGGACTGCAGCACTACGGCCTACTCTTAATTCGAATTCCAACTGTCAAGGTTCTTGTACGTGCACACGAATGTGTACACGAGATCCCCGAACGACTTTACAATGTCTCTTGTCAGTCCCTCCGTCTTACACAAAGGGGGAACTATGCCGGTCACCAGCTATCAGTGAAC